AATTTTAGTGTACATTCTGATTTTCGTGTACATACTGATTACATTAGATTCACCACTTTAGTGTTAGTATATACCAGCTGGTAGCGACTCTCCTTCAATACATGTAGATGGCATTGTAATCGATGCTTGTTTTAATTAGTGGGCAATTGAAAAATTGTGGGCTTCATATAGATAGTGACACAATTAACATCTCCACACTTCATCTTTCCTTAGCAGCAGACATCGATTGTTGTTTACGTCTGCTACCAGTTCATGTTCATTTTTTAATGGCTGCCTCTGTTCGCATGTCGTTGCAGTACGTGTGGAAGTCTAAGTCGGCACTGCAAGAAATTACGGGTTTTAAAGTTGGATTCCTGCGCGCAGATCACAGATAACTCCTTGAAGGCACTAGGGTGAGTGTTTGTGTCCTGTTTCTTTCTTCTCCCCTCTTCCCAGCAGGTTAAATCATTGAAGGGGCTAGGGGTGAGTGAGAGTGTGTGTATAAGCCCTATGTTTTCTCTCCTCTCCCAAACAAGATAACTCTTTGAAGGCACTAGTGTGAGTGAGTGTGTATGTGCTTACTATGCCTTCTTCCCTCTCCCCAACCTTTGCTAAACCAATCATGGCAGGATTCATGCAAACGCCCTGCCCTTAGTTTATCAATGCAGTTGTTGGGCCATTTGGTGCAATTAAAAACGGGTCTTTTTGAAAAGCAGGCTGTGCAGTGTGAGATATTTATTATTTGTACATTGTGAGTAAACGAGTACACTGACTAGTAAGTGTAATATGTTTGTTTGTCACATCTAATTATAATAGGTAATCTGTTAGTTAAATAGTTAATCTTTCATGAGTAATTCTCTACTTAGATATCTAACAAATGTAAAGTATAATAAGATTGTAACACGCACAGATAAGCAGATTTCAGGAGAGGTTTGGGTTTTCCATTTGGCTTGCTAACGATGTTGCTCTTCAGAGAGGGTTGCCAGGGGCTGGAACAAGTGAACATATCCTGGTGTCACAAGATCTCTGACAATGGACTCACATCCCTGGCTAAAGGATGTCTCAAACTACATCTACTAATAGTCAAAGGCTGCCCCCAGGTATGGCTTGAGTAGATTGTGATTGTGCATCTATTTTTGTTGTTCTCAGACTACTTCTTGTTATCACTGTTGTAATTTTTCTGTCTCTCTCTCTCTCTCTCTCTCTCTCTCTCTCTCTCTCTCTGTCTCTCTCTCTCTCTCTCTCTCTCTCTCTCTCTCTCT